TTTTTTTTTTTTTTTTTTTTGGTGTCACTGTCTACCCTTAACAGTAAATATCTTTGGGAGTGTGACATGGATTTTTTTTTAGAAATGACTACTGTAATGCAATGTGGTAATGAAACGGTGACCTTTATTGAGAACCTTGAAGCCTCGTAACTTGAAGTATTTTTCAATTTTGTTTGTCGAAATACTTCAGTTTTCCAGCTGGATCTGGAATTATCTGTTAAAAACAAAAATAAGAAAAAACCCAATTTATTCACTTCAAAAGCCAAAGTACATTACTAGTAGTCTGGTATTAGTTGCCCATCTCTCGACAAAACTGGATCTGTCCTACCTACTCAATCTCAGTGACCCCCAAATGCAAATAATTTTAATAAATTAACATCTGTACTCCAGTGCCACAAAATTTACTTACAGCTCTTCTCTTGGCCACCAGGCTTTCATGGCATCTTCGGGTTTGATCTAGTTAAATCAAACACATTGAGAGCATGGCTACAGATGTTAATGTATTTGGAAAATCATTTGCTGATTAAATGATGGTATGCTACAACAGCCTGAAAAGAGGGTGCTGTGTTCACTAAGAGGGTAGGCAAATGAAGTTTTGGAGGTCTGGAGTGCAACTTTTTAATCTTAAACTTCAAATTAAAAAAAAAACAAAACCAAAAATGAAGAATTCAAAAATATTATCTTCAATAACTAGAGAATGAATATGCTGAAGAAAAAGTGTTCCTTCTAAGAGTATCATAGCCTTAGAAACTTTAGACTTGAAGTAATATTTCTAATATGATTTGACTTCACATTATGTTACTTTCTATGTTAATGTACAACATATTAAGACAGGCTCTCACTATGGCCTTTAACTCACAATGTAGCCTTGGCCGGTTTTGAATTCAGAGTTCCTCCTGCCTCAACCTCCCGAGTGCTGTGATTACAGGTGTGTGCCACTACACCTGGCTAAAACTGTTGATTTTAGAAGATAATAATCTAAAGATGTTTAAGCAAGTTTCCAAACTGCATTTTGGCCAGAGACTACTTGAGAGATTGTCTATAAATTATACAGCCTCCCTAAAATAGTGTACCTGATTCAATGTTTTCTTTCTTCCTATGACATTTCGATGTTCTTTAAACCAGATTTTCTCTAAGCCTTTTTACTACATATAGGAAGGGTTTGCTTATGATTGTTTTCTTAATCATAAAATCTGAAGAAATTCCATAAAATAAATTTGCTCTTCCAAGTCTCCACTCTGCCTTTTGTTTTTGTCTTTTGGAAGAGTATATTTCTCTGGACACTTCGTTTTAAAATTCACAGCACCAAATCCCATATTCTGTGTTTTCCAGTTTCATATGTTCTTCCTCCAGTTTGGAGAAATGTCTGTATTCCAAGACTACGTGGCAATGTTTACTATACCCATGAAATCGAGACAGTTCTGTGACCAGGAAAGCTTACCCGAAGGTTAGCATATTGCTTTTTGAGCTCTAGCCATGCCCTTAACAGAAAAATCAACATGACTTACTGTTTCACTACCAGGTTTCCAGCCAGCAGGGCAGACTAAAAGGGAAAAAAGTGGACAAAAGAGAGTTTACCAACAGAATTTAGTTTTCCTTCAAGTTATATCTAGATGTCCTCCACAAGCCTCTCGTGGTCACAGGCTTGATGGACTGTGTGATGCTTCAACTGATTCATGATGCAATGCTAGGCTCAAGGGCACTAGTCATCTGGGTAAGATTAAAGCAGCAAAAAGACGCTGGTAAGTTCCCTATTGCTTTTGCTATCATGTGGGCGCCATGAACTGTTTCTCCTCTGCGATGCGCCTTTGCCATGTGCCACCCTGCCCTGGAGCCAGCCAATTATGGACTGAAACCTCCACAAACTGTGAGCTAAAGAAACTCTTTCCTCTTTAACTTTGGGTGTTGGGTATTTTGTCTGAGCAACGAGAGAAAAGTAACACAATTTTTGAACTTTTTGTTTCTACATTAAACTGAAATAGAATGTTAATGGTATTTCCAGACCAACAAGCACCAAGCACTCGACTGTTTTTTTGGTACTAGAAGCTGAACCTAGGGCCTCTGCACTGAGCTACATCCCCTGCAAACACCCCCCCCCTCCTTTTTTATTTAGAGATAGGGTCTTCCCTACATTGCTCAGGCTGGGCTCGAACTTGTAATCTTCCTGCCTCAGCCTCCCACAGTGCTGGGATTATAGGCATGAGTCATTATGCTTGGCTAGTACTTGCCTTCTGTTAGCTTACCTGTTCACACTAGGAAATTTTAGTCATGGAGCTGATTGGCAGGCGGGTAATCTATTTCCATTTTTAACAATTATGCTTAGCTACATTTTTATTTTTGAAATTTTTATTAGCCCATGTTTGCATTCCTCATGGGGAATTGGTGCAGGTGTACCATACAGCTTAATCCTTTTTTCATCCCCTTCCCCTCCCCTCTGCCTCCTTTCCCTCCTTCTCTTGGTCCCCTTCCCTTTTATGAAAGAGCTATCTCCCTGATTCCTATTATCTATGTATTATTTTGCTCCTTTACTTATTTATAGTTACATTTTCAATATGAGAAACTAAGTGGAATTCCTCTCTAAAAAGTTGGAAAGTTTGGTCAACTGGTGAGCTGAAAAGGCACAGCAATGACCCCTGAACTGACACACTTTTCATAAGCTTGTCTGTCTCCCTCCTGTCTTGCAGTGCCTAGGACTGATAACCATGCTCTTCTGTCCACAGACTGTGGGAGGCACCCTGACTCAGGCACTGAGTTACATAGGTTCTATTTGAGCAAAATCTCACTTTTTTCATTTAGCTACTGATAAAACTTAGAGTAAAAGGAGGAATTTATAGATTCCCAGTGTGAAACGGAATAACCACAGGGTTACATTACTTAAAATGCCAAATCGAATAATGTACATGTGCAAATGAAACCTACATCAGTATCATGTGCCATAGTGGCACATTTTAAGTTTACAGAACCATGGTTTCAAAACTGTAGTAGCACAGACTTTTCTCTGAGTTTATCCAAAATGTCTGTGTAAATATTGAGCATTTTTACTTCTTATCCAGGAAGCAGAATAGTGATATACTGTTGAAAGCACTTTAAATAATACTTTGGTTTCCTAAAAGGATCGAATAAATTGAAAACAGTCAAAAGACTTTGGATCCTTCCAAATTATCTTCAGGATAAGAAACCAAATGAATTATGCTGCTATCTCCCCCACTAAGAGGCGGCACGATACCTTCTCCATGTTTGTCGGTGTACTGGAATGCCTGAACCAAACGCAGGGTCTCGTCCACTGATCTGCCCACAGGAAGGTCATTCAGAGTAATCTGTCTCAGGATTCCTTTGTCATCAATAATGAAGAGGCCTCTGTGAAACAAAGAAGGGCAGATGTGAGGCCACTGTTTCTCAGTTAAGACAAGTATTAGTTAATGTGAATCCCTGTACCATCCATCCACATGGAAGGACGCTATACAGAACTAACAGTTCACTCCCTATCTACCAGTACACATGTGTGGACATACAGGAACCTCCTTCTCCATCTACTGTGGGATTTGGGATAACCACTCTTAAAAGGTAGCTTTCAAGTTGATTTTGGCTATGAAATGTACTGTAGCATTTACAGTTGCTTAAGATTATATGACTTGAAAAAAATGATGTGCATATATCTCTTTGGAAATAAAAACAATTTAAAAAAGAAATGGTTCAAATAAGGTTAAAAGAACTAAAAACAGTACTAATTTTAGCCTGTCAACATTCAAATAATTCCACATTTTAAAACTGCCTGTCTTTTTAGTGACATACTTACTCTTTGGGAATTAACCTAGTAATACTTTATGAAAGCAGAAAACCTTAGGGACCTGGCAGGCACAGAGGAGAGAAACCGAGACAGTGCAGCATGATAGAGGATGGGCGGGCCTGAGAACGTGCTGAGTGAAGAGGCTGACAACCACAGTACACCTACTGCAGGCTTCCACTTACATGAAACGCCCACCCTGGGCAGCCGTGCAGCCTCAGGGTACACGAATAGCTGTCTAGGGCTGAGAGGAATAAGGACGGACTGCTAATGGGTGCAGGGCTTCTTTTCAGAGTAATGAAAATGCTCTAAAATTCTGGTGATGGCCGCACAACTCTGTGAATATACTAAAAAGCACTGAACTGTATTCTTTAAATGGGTGAATTGTATGATATATGACTTGTATCTGAATAAAGCTGTTATAAAAACAGGATTTAAAAAACTGACACTTTCACATGAAACATTTAAAGTTACTGGCACTGCAGAGTAAATTAGCAATGTAATTATAAGAAAACCACAACTTAGCTAGGCTAAAACTACTGTTTTTCAAAGAATGATGTTGGCATGTATTAGCTCAAATAACTCAGTGAGAGCAGCTGGTTAAAATATTGCTTTAGGGCCGGGGATTTAGCTCAAAGGCACTGTGCCTGCCTAGCAAGTGCAAGGTCCTGAGTTTGACCCCTGGTACAAAAAAAAAAAAGAAAAAAAAAGAAAAAAAAAGAAAAGAAAAGAAAAAGAAAAAGAAAAAAGATAAAAGAAAAGAAAGAAGGAAAGAAAGAAAGAAAGAAAAAAAACCATTGCTTTGGCTGGGCATGGTGACACCTGTCATCCCTACACTCAGGAGGCTGAGACCGATTATTGCAAGTTCGAGGCCAGCCTAGGCTACATAGCAAACCCTTTCTCAACCCCCGAAAGATATTACTTTAATTTTCTCATTCCAAAGACACAGGTTTTTTAAGTATTATGATAATTATATGTATGTATGTATGATTATTATTAGTTTGGTTTTTTGAGACAGGGTTACACAATGTAGTTCAGGTTGGCCTCAAACTCTTAAGTGACCCTCCTGCCTCTTCTTTCCCAGTGCTGGAATTGCAGGAATGCACCACCATGCCTGGCTCGGCATCTGTCTTTTATCTGTAAAAAGACAGGGTTGGACAAAGACCTCTAAATAACCTTCCAGGTTCAACAATGTAATTTAGATCACCCAGTGGTTATTTTAAAGAATATCTGCAACATTTCTGCCAAGTGGAGCAAATACTTCTTGATCAAAATTTGTATCTTCTAACTTATAAACAACATCCAATTCCAGAGGATTATAAATGTACTTGGGTTTTTCATCATATAAACCACAGAAAAGGACCTCAGAGTGTGGCCTGCGTCCTCTAGATAGACACCGTAGTCCTTTGAGATCTGATGGTTCAGGTCCGAAAGAAGTGGAATTCTTATCGACCCCAGGCCTCCTTGTCTTCGAGGGGTATTAATCCTGTAACACACAAAACACTTTCCTCTGAGAGCTGAGTTTACTGCATGCATTCAAACAGCCAGCAGTCTTTGCATAGGCACCTATGTGAACACATTCAATATATACATTCCTTCTCTAACAACGTCAGGCTAATCACTTACTATTGTCTTTTCCCCATTTAACAATATGTTCATTTCAAGCTCTAAATATTGGTACATAAAACCCATTTTTAATGAATGGAAAAACTGTATTTTACAAATCTCTACTGATAGACAGTAAACTGTTTGCATGGAGACATCCTTTTATTCCCAACTCTGTATGCTTATCTGATTAATTTCTAGATGTGGACTTGACAGATCACGTGATATACACTGCCACAAGTGTAACTTCAGAAATGTGATCAGAAGACAAAGGCTTGAGAGGCAAAGCAATGCAGTGTCTTCAGGAATAGGTGGAGAAAGTTAGTTGCCATCCTCAGAATGAAGTGCTCTGTAAGTTAAGGCCACAGAGCTCGAGGGCTGAGGTCCTAAAAGGAGGGCACCGACACAGTACCAAGAGACCAAGGCAATCCTGTCCCAGATGTCTGTGGGCCCAGTTCCACCACCCTAAGACATAGAAGCCTTGAGTGGTATGAGACCTATCTAGCTGAGAACACAGCCCCAGATTCTCTTGGGAAAGTGATCCCAAATTATCTTGAGATAATCCAGTTTTTCCTACAGACATTTTTTATACCTGGGAAGATTTAGAATCATAGTAGGAAAGGTGATGCAAACAAGCCTAGGTTTAGTATTTTTGGTATTAAGAACTAATCAGTAAATATTTAGATATTAAGTTACTTTTAATTAATGTTCAGGAGATTTTTGTCTAAGTGTTTGAAAAGGTTTGTCTGAAAATTGAGATACTTTCTTTTTCTTGGTGAGGGGGCTGGTACTAGGGATTGGACCCAGGTCTTCTACATTGAGCCTACATTCCCAGCCCTCTTCATACTTTTTATTTATTTTTACATTGTTTTTTTTATGAGTACATATTTGTACTATGTAATGATCACATTCCTCATGGAATTCCTCTTATTTTCTTATCCTCTCTCTCCATCTCTTGGTCCCTTTTCCATATGCAAAAGATCTATTTAGCTATTTCTTCTTCTCTACCTTTTATTTAGCTCTCTCTCTCCCTATATATACATTTTTTGCTTTTTTGAGACAGGGTCTCACTATGTAGTCCAGGCTGGCCTCAAACTCAGGCGATCTTTCTGCCTCAGCCTCCAAGTGCTGGGACTATGGGCATGTGCCACTACACCCAGCTTGCCGCTGGTATTTTGATTGTCACTGCATTCATTCTGTTTGTAAATTTTGGGAGTGTAGCCATTTTGACAATATTTGTTCTGCCTATGCAGGAACAGGGGATATCTTTCCATTTTCTGCTGTCTTCATTTTTTTTTTGTGTGTGGAGTAGTTTTGGTTGTAGAGGTCTTTCATTTTCTTGGTTAGGTTAATTTCAAAGTATAGTCAAACCTTGGATTATGAGTAACTTTTTCTGCGAGTGTTCCAGAAGTTGAGTACATATTTCTAATAAACTTTACCTTGATAAATGAGTCATGTATTACAATAAGAGTAGTACGGCACACTGAAAGTCATATGATCACAACTGGTTCTTCTCTCTGTTTTTTTTGAGACAGGGTCTCACTACATAGATTAGCCTTGAATTCACAACGTAGTCCAGCTTGGCCTCGAACTTGCAGTGATCCTCCTGCCTCAGCCTCCCAAGTGTTAGGATGACAGGTGTGTATCACCATGCCTGGCTTCTTGCTGCTTTGATATACAGGTGCTTTGGATTATGAATGGAACAAATTTTTCTTGTAAACCAAATTTTTACTTCGTCTTGAAGCTATTGTGAAAGATAGTATTTTCCTAATTTCTTTCTTAGTGAGTTTATTTTTATTGTTTGAGACAGGGTCTTGATTTGTAATTCAGGCTGGCCTTGAACCTATGATATAGCCAAGGCTGGCCTTAAATTTACAGCAATCCTCCTGCTTCAGCCTTCTGAGTGTTGGGATTACAGGTGTGTGCCACGCCTGGCCTGGTGAGTTTATTACTCAAGTACAGGAATGGTATTGATTTTTGTGTGTTGATTTTGCATTCTGTTACCATACTGTTATGACTTGTGCCTAGATGTTCCCCCAAGGCCCCATGCAGTCATGGGTGGGGGGCACTTTTCAGAAGTGGCTGAATCTAGAGTGTGTGGTGCTGGGATCAAGGGTGTGTGATTATTAAATCACTGACTGGATAGCTATGGCTAGGATTAAGGGTGTGAGTGCTACGCCTGCCCTAGGGCAGGTAGCCTGCATACAATATAAGGGACAGAAAGAGGCTTGTCTTGTCCCTTGCTTGCTTTGCTACTTTCTGCCTGCCATGCCACCCTGCCTTGGAGCCAGCTATGTACTGAAACCTCTACAAACCATGAGCGAAATAAACCTCTCCTCCCTTAACTGTAGGCGTTGGGTATTTTGTCTCAGCAACAAGAAAAGGAACTAAAACAGAATTTGGTACCAGAGAAGCAGGGTCGTTGCTCTGCCTGTACCTAACTGTGTGGTTTAGGAGCCTTTGGAACTCTCTTGTGGGAAGGGGAAGAGTTAGGAAAGGTTTGAAGATGCCTGCTGAAAAAGTAGAACTGGAAGGCCTTAGGCTGTACTTGAGAGATTCTGGTCAGAGCATAGACCAGAAGGCTGATAGAAATCCTGTTAGTCAAGACCAGGCAGGCTCAGGAGGTATCTGCTGGGAAGGACTGCACTGTCCGTTGGACTCTAATGTGTGTTATACCTTGGCATAGAGTTTGTCTGCACTTTGCTCATGTCCAGAGACTTTGCCTGAGACTGAGATTAAAGGTGGCAGACTAATTAATCTTGTAGAAGAATTTCAAGGCAGTCTAATGTTGAGGTGTTGGCATGGCTACTGTTGGGGGCTTTTAGCCAGATTTATGTTGACAAGAGCAAAGAGCCCAGGAGAATGATTTAAAACATTTTGAGTTTGGCCAAAGAGGAAGTTTCAGTAAAGAGGCAGCCTGCCAAGATGTAACAGAGATCTTGATTGCTGAGACGGAACCAGGGAATAGAAAAGATGGCCTGAGGGTATCACAAGAAGTAGCAGGACTCCACTCCCTACAGCCTCAAAATTGCAAAAGTGAAAGACTTTGTTTTGAGAAGAAAGCTTCACAGCACCATGTTCCATTCTTCCTTCGGATTTGGGTCATAGGCACTGGATCTTTACAGCCAAGAGGGAAGGAAGCCTGGCTACTATTTCAGCTGGTGGCAGACCTTGGCCTCATCCACATAGTGCTGGTTTTAGGTGCATGCAGAATGTAAGAGTTGTGAAGTCAGGAAGGCTTGCATCCAGATTTCAGAAGGCTTGGGAGGCCAGGCAGTGTGTCCCTGACAGGGCAATGTGTGAAGGTAAAGGAGCAGGAGAAACCCCAGACATCTGGAGAAGCCAGGAACGTGGATTATTTGAGGAAAGCTGCAAAGAATGAACAGATCTGGCCCAAGAGAGGTTATGGGAGATACAATCGCCCATTGTGCTATAGGGGCAGAGACATCAAGCCCTTTCAAGTTCATATCTTGCCACAGATTGCCTCAGATGCTGGACACGAACTGTAGGATTTAATGTTTGCCCTGCTGTATTTTGATCTTGCTTTGTTCCTATTCCTTGCTATCCCTGTTTGCAACTTTCGATGGCAATGTCTATCTTGTGCCATTGACTGTTGGAAGTATAACTTTCTTTTCATTTTACAGGGGCTTGCAGCTAAGACTTTGCCTTACATTTGAGAAGAGACTCTGGACTTGGACTTTTCAGCAATGCTGAAACTGTTAGACTTTGGGCAACTCTTAGAGATGAACTAAATGACTTTTACATAAAAGGATGTGAGTGAGTCCTTGGGTGGGGCAGGGGTGGAATGTTATGGTTTGTTTCTAGATATCCCCCTAGAGCCTCATGCAGTCATGGGTGGGGGGCACTTTTCAGAGGTGACTCTAGAGTGTGTGGTGCTGGGATCAAGGGTGCATGATTATTAAATCAGTCCACTGATTGGTTTGGCCTAGTTCTGGCTAGGATTAAGGGTGTGAGTGCTACACCTATCCTAGAGTGGGTAGCCTGCATACAATATAAGGGACAGAAGGAAGTTTGTCTTGTCCCTTGCTTTGCTACCTTTTGCCCACCATGAACTGCTCCTTGTATTTGATGCTTGTCTGCTATGCTGCCCTGCCTTGGAGCTAGCTGACTATGGACTGAAACCTCCACAGACTGTGAGTCAAGTAAACCTTTCCTCCCTTAACTATGAACATTGGGTATTTTTATCAGTAAGAAAGGTAACTAAAACACCTACTAAATTTGTTTTTTCATTCTAGGAGTCTTTTAGGGGAATGTTTTGGGCCTTGTAAAGAGAGGACCATGTCATTTGGAAATAATGAAAATTTAACTTTTTCCTTTCCTATACATATCCCTTTTATTTCTTTTTCTTGTCTGATTGCTGTGGGGCTGTTTTGAGAACTATATTGAACAGGAGTGGTGGTTTTGTTCCTGATTTTAGAGGGAAAGCTTTTAGCTTCTCCCCATTTAATGATATCGACAGCAGGTTTGCCATAAATGGTTTATCAGATTGAGATAAGGTCCTTGTACATCTGTTTTCTTCAGAGTTTTTGTCATGAATGGATGCTGGGTTTCATCAAAGGCCTTTTCTGCATCTATTGAGATGATCATGTGATTTTTATCCTTCTTTCTGTGATTAATTACAGTTATTGATTTGTATATGTTGAAGCATTTCTTCATCCATGGGGTGAATCCTACTTGGTCGTGATATATGACCTTTTTGATGATTTGCTGCATTGTTTGTCAGTATCTCATTGAAGATTTTTGTGTCTATATTCATTAAGGAGAGTGGGCTGTATTTTTGTTTGTGTCCTTTTCTGGTTTTGGAATCAGGGAATCCAGGAATGGCTTTGTGAGTACTTCTCTTTTGATTTCATTAGAGTTTAAGGAGTATTGGGGTTAGGTCATCCTTAAATTCTTTTTGAGATAGGATCTTGCTAAAATGCTAAGTTGCCCAGGCTGGGCTTGAACTCAAGATCCTCTTAACTTAGCCTACCGAAGTGCTGGCATTATAGGCATGCACCACCACGTCAGCTGAAAACTGAGAAAAGGGAATTCTTTTTTTGTGTAGTGCTTGGGCTTGAACCCTGGGGCCTTGTGTCTGCCAGAGAAGTGCTATACTACTGAGCTACATCCCCTATCCAGTAATTAATTTAAGGAAAGATAATGAAATTATAGCCCCTAACGAATTATAAGTTTTTAAATTTTGTACCAGGTATTGAACTCAGGACCTTGCACTCGCAAGGCAGGCGTGGTGCCACTGAGCTAAATCCCTGGCCCCAATTAAAATTGTTCATATATACTCATATATGTGTACATGTATATGTAATTATATGTGGAGAAAAACTTGTTTTGAATTTGTAACTTTTGTGAATTGAACCTTAAACTTTAAATCCAGAAGAATTTTGAATGATCTCTATTACACACAAAATTAGAAGCAAAAAAACTACTCACACATACATGCATGTTTTAAACTTTGAGACATGTTGCTGAACTGCTCTCTTGAAATGCCATTCTTCACACTTTTGCCAATAAATATTCAATGTAGTTTATCAATTTAACAAAATTAAAAAAATATTTACAGGTACATATTTGCAGTATATGATTAAATTCATTGTGGGAAGTTGGTACATGTACATAACATGTACATAACATGTAATTCTTTTTCCTTCCTCTTCAATCTTTCAAATCTTGGCCAATTAGACAGTGACAAATGGCCTCTTTTGCCATTCTGATTTGCAATTCTTTGTAAGTGGGTGGAAAAATTTTTTCATGACTAATGAATTTAAAATAATTACTTTTTAAAAATTACTTTTTGAAAAGTATAAAAGGTATTATGATTTTAACTTACTAATACCCAAGAACTGCACAGAAGAAAAATGGCGTATTTTAGGTGCCAGGGATTTAGCTCAGTGGCACAGCACCTGCCTGGCAAGCGCCAGATCCTGAGCTTGATCCCCAGTACCTCCCCCGCAAAAAGGTATACTTTAAAGATTTTCTCCTCCAGATAAATGTTACTCAAATGTTCATAACAAAGTAATAACACAATCTAGTAGTTTTTGCTATGGAAATCACATCCATTATATTTAACTTTTCCCAATTTTGAAAGGATGGATACAATTCTGAAGCATTTTTACCATAACTACATTGAATTATCAGCTCACTGTATCGCTCTCAGATAAATCTATTCCCCAAATGTCTGATACATGGTGTTATCATGTTTATCTGCACATGACTTAGAAGGAAATACATTCATTTTTTGCTACAAATTTAAGTATAAAATACTGACCAGGCCAAATGGGTGAACTGTGAATCAACAGAGCATGCTACCACTTCAGTATTTATGGATCTGAATTCTTCAATTCTGTCACCAAAAGCGATAATTTCAGTTGGACACACAAATGTGCTGAAAGGTAAAAAAAAAATTCAGTATTCTCAAATAAGAATGTTCAAATAACTTAATTTTTGCAAACACTTTTAGTATATAAAAATGGACCTCAAGGACAATTTTATATATGGGCCTTCTTTGTCTTAAAAGACTGTCATTTGGGCTGGGATTTAGCTCAGTGGTTCTGCTGCTTGAAAGTGCAAGGACCTGAGTTCAATCCCCAGTGCAAAAAAAAACAAAAGCAAAAACAAAACAAAAAAGACTATCATTTGATCAAATATTTAATAAATACATATTACAGAGTTCCCAATTATATCTCAATAACTCAGTGGTCAACCAATATTCTCTTCTCTCTTATAGGAGCATTCCAATTTTATTAACGCTTTGTGGTCTTTTTCACTAGTACATGTTTGTAGTACATAATAATGATTATATGTTGGTATATGTATATAACATATCTTAATTCTTTTTACTTCCTCTTCCCCTCTCATCCTGATTAGCTTTATAGCTTTCAAGGAATCTATACAAATTTTACATCATTTCTCTATTGTTTTATATATTCCTATACTACCATCTGAAGTAAAAGTTGTATTTTTTTGGCTTGTTTTGAGACAGTATTTTAGTAGCCTAGGCTAGCCAAGGATCATGGTGATCCTCTTGCCTCAGCCTCCCGAGTGCTGGGATCACAGGTGTGTGCTAACTGCATTTTGTAGATTAGGCGGTGTTCTCCTAGAACCCCCACCCCTCCAATATAGGTCCTCTCCCACCCTGTGCAGCAGGAGTTTTACACCTTAACACCATCATGCTGTCAGAAGTACATGTTTAGCAACTATTACCTAGGGCAGTATTTTTCATCTTCTGGTAGGGACTCCTTAAACTGAGTTCCAAGGAACACTTTAAAAAAGTAAAAACTTTTAACCCTACCGGTATAGCTAAGTGTCTAGCAAGCATGGATCTTCCTGATGAGGGTGGGATTGTTTTCTGTTGAACAGCTTGTGCTGGAATCCTAATTGTCCATCAGGCAGGTTTCTTTCTCTCCTCTCCTCCCTTCCCATTCCCTTTCTTCTTTCTTGCACTGGGGATTAAGTCCAGGGAGCACAACTGCATAGACTTGAAGTATAAAGTAGTGAGACTGAGGTCAATGGGTTATACTCTGAAATACATGGTAGATGTTATCCTTTTTCCTCAGTAAGATTTTTTTGGGGGGTACCAGGGATTGAACTTACAACTTGCACTTGCAAGGCAGGTGGTGGCACTGTTGAGCTAAATCCCCAGCCCCTCAGTAAGATTTTTTTTATTAGTAATTTTAATTGAAATGTTTGATAGTTGAAACCTTTGTGGCCTTAGGACTATGGACTTTATTTTTTTTTTTTTTAGACAAGGTCTCACTACACAGTTCAGACTGGCCTTGAACTCACTATGCAGCTCAGGCTGGCCTCAAACTCAAGGTGAACCTCCTGTCTCAGCCTCCCAAGTGCTAGGATTACAGACATGTATCACCATACCCTGCTTGTGGACATCTTTCTTTAACTGCCTCCCTGCTTCCTTTTTGTTTCTGCTTCTCTAATCATTCCAAGGGTTTCTCTACTTACCCCTCTTTCTCATCCCAATCCCCAACCCTGGGCAATTCTAAGATTTCTTCTCTTATCTCTTACTCTGTCCTCAGATTCTTCCCATCTGCTAACTTCATCCGAGTTTGATCCCCCGTATCAAAAACAAAAGCAACAACAACAAAAAAACTATCTTTCTGAATTCCTTATTTCAGCTTGCCTTTTTGAAGAACCGACAGTTGAATAGAAATTTCTTACTATTTGATGTTCCTGAATAATGAATGATAGAAGACAGAGGTTTTACTAGCTGCTGTATTTACATGTATTACTTACAAATCAAGTGGGTAGAAGAAAAAAACCAAGTATTTCCCACGATAATCAGTTAATTTCAGCTCCTTGAATTCTCCATTTATCACAGCTGTACCTTCCCAATAAGGTGCTGGCTTGGAAACTAAGAAAGAAAAAGACATGGTGTTCTGTAATAATGCGAAAGTTGATAATGGCACGAGGTTATCTTTTTTTTTTTGATGGTGGAAGGGACTGAACCCAGGGCCTTGTGCATGCTAGGCAAGTGAGCTACCACTAGAGCTACATCCCCACACCTTGCTGGCAGGCTGGTGAAGCTCAAAGACTTCTCAGAACTTAAGTGTTACTGAATTCATAAAGTAAAATACTATACACAGAATTATGGGAACCAGTGCAACCATCAAAATATAAAAACCTAAATTAGTGATACAGCACTACATGTTCTTTTATCAATCCTTTAAAGCTACAGGATCTAGCAGTGATCTAATGACTTATTTCAAATAACGATGAGTAGAAACGATGTTTCAGGACACCTGCTGTAACTTCGTTATCACGAAGGTATCTGTGATTGTATTCGCAACAGACACAAGGGAGAGCTGCTGAAGAAGCTAGCAGAGTTGTGGCCGAATGTCCGTAATAGGAGGACATGCTCAATTTCACCTGGGGTGAAATCACCTTCTTTTCTATCCAGGCTCACTCCCTGCACTCCACGCCTGCAGGAAACCTGTTGGATATTTCACTATAACCCCCACAACCACCAAGTTATCAACTTCTACATTTCAAATAATTAGCTTTTCATGGTAGTTTTCTGGAAGTACTAATTGTTTGTCCAATTTCTTACCTACACAGGGGAGGACCTGCCAAAGACAGGATACCCCATACGAGGAAGAAATGCAAAAATGCACTAGTCCATGGGATCATTTTCCTAGAGGGCTTAGAAAAAAAGAAGCCCCTTGAACAGGTTTCAAATGACCTAATGGAATCTGAATAGTTAGTGCTGCTCTCTAGTAAAGACATAATGTAAGTGTAGCCAATACCCTTTGATAATATAGCTTCATGCTGTTAATGCATTTATAACTTTGAGAACCATCACATACACTGAAGTCAATACTTGCTTCCAAGTTTGACTAAAATTACTAGAAAATAACACCTATACTTCTGTATGACAGCCAGCCTTTGTGGTCACTCTGAAAAGAGACAAACTGAGGATGAATTTCTCTGTGAAGCTAATATATAACATGTGATTACTTGAGCCAGCAGCCTAACTCATAAATAAAGCTGATCTGATTAGGTAAAGGCCAGAGGCAGCCTTAGACAGGATATATGCTTAAATGCTACTCAAGAGGTTATGATAATTCTAACAATCTGTGACAATGACAGTCCTTAAAGATTTGAGCATGTTGGGAAAACTATATCAGAAAAATAGATTTTATTCAGAAAATTAACTTTGGAGATTTTGGTTTTTAAGAATTAAATGCTACTCAAGAGGTTATGATAATTCTAATGATCTGCGACAATGACAGTCCTTAAAGATTTGAGCATATTGGGAAAACTATATCAGAAAAATAGATTTTATTCAAAAAATTAACTTCGGAGATTTTGGTTTTTAAGAATTGCAGTTACTTTGCTAAGATCTATAAATAGAATTCCCAAAGCAATCTGTAATCTATTAAAAAGTAAACAAGAATTGTCCTGAATATAAATTATAAAATTAACACAGATTCTGTTAAATGCAGAGATGCAGAGAATAATATTTAAATCCCTTTATAATACCTACCGATTTAACAGTTTTTTGTTTTTGTTTTTGAGGCAGAGTCTCACTATGTAAGCCAGGCTGGCCTGGAACTCAGCAATCCTGCTGCCTCAGCCTCCCAAGTGCTGGAACCACACCCAGCATTAACAAATGATGAATACTTTCATGTTTTCTAGTCTTTTTTTAAACGCCCAAGATTATGTCCCTGCCCCCAATTTATTTTTTTCTTCTATTTTCTTAGAGGAAATGGCAAAGTATCAAGTTTTTCATGTTACTAAAGACGATTTGAAAATTTGGTCTTAATGGCTTTATAATATCTCATTTTATGAATAAAAGTCCATGTATCCCTAATTTTACATGAGTCTACAAATGACACAGATGTAGCAAGTACATAAAATCTGAAAAAGTTTTCTGATAAAGGGAAAGCTATTATTATTTGCTTCCATAAGCAACTTTGGAGTGAATTTCTTTCCAAGGGGAAGTAAACACACAATCAGGAAAGAATTAATTGGCTGATGTATTTCAAAATATTTTCCCAGGCAAATGAAACCAATGGGACTGGGGAATAGTGATTTTTGAAAGCGCAAGACTGCTTTCTAAATACAAAAATCTAAATGTAGTTAACTTGCAGTATGAAAGATGTTTACGAAGGCAAACAGGTTTTTTTCCTTTATCATTCCCACTTCACTCTAACTCAAAACAATACTCTTATCTCTGGGGAATCATAATGGTAAAGCATTACTTTTTTCTTTAAATACTGGCACAGAACATGCCCTGACCACCACAAAAGCCAAGCACACATCTACCGAATGTCAAATGACCTGTAGGAAAAGTAGCTTATGCAAAAGCAAGCAAAGGATGGCCTTTTATTTGTATCCTTTTCTGGTCAGTTCTTTTTGGCTACCTTAACATCCAGATGCAGGGGTCCACAACTTTCTTATTATCTGCTTAGTCTGACGTGTCCTCCTGCAAGTGGCCATAAGCTTTGTACACTGGACAGAAATGCAAATAATCCAAAGCCCAACTGGCAGGACACAAATAAGCCACGAGATTTATCATCAACCCAAATGTGCTAGCTTTCAGCCTCCTTCCTCCTCCCTCCAAAGTACACTCTATAAACGATTTGTGCAAACATACAAAAAATATCAATGACCTATACAGCTTTTAGGAAAAATGGCTTATAAAAGTCTTTATAAAATGCAACAACAAAAAAGGAAAAATGAAATATTTGACCTGAACGCTCTGTTTCATCACTTTTCTGTTTGATCAAACTTTCTGTGAATCATTATTCAACCATTCAATGCATGCTTCCCCGAAAGAGTACGGGATTAGAGACAGGACGTGCCGCAAGTCACTTCACGATGCTTGAGGAAGTTGTTTCCGTTTGCACAACACCCTCAGTGCCTGCAAGCCCAGGGCTTGGGCCACTTTCTTTCCCTCATCTGTGGCTTTTGGGGTAACCACTAACTCTTCCAAAATCTGTTCAGTAGAAGCCATCCTTTTCTTCACAACTGGAACCTCCCACCCCCACCCTCCAGCCCACTAGAAGAAGCAGACGGACTCGGGCCAGGAGGCAGCCGAGGGAGTGCCGCCCAACCCCAGCCCCCCTACCTCCACAGCCCCCGGAGCAATGTCCACGTGTCTTCGGCTCCCCCCACCCCGCAGGGCACCACCTACTCTTGGCTTTGCTTAAGTGCAGGGAGTGGTCTGCAACCGACACCCGGGACACCTCCCCGGGGTACACTTGTCCACCCGCGTAGAAGTGGCACTCGTCTTCGCGGGCCCGGGGCCTCTCTGTCTCCAAGCCCCGCAGAGCCCCGATCTGCAGCAGGAACAGCAGCAGCAGCGGCAGCAGCTTTCGGCTCCAGCTTGGGGTCGGAGTCATTTCGGCTTGTAGCCGCTGTGGAGCCTGCATGACCACGCGAGCGCAGACGCGTCCCTCGTTGCGCGCGCGGTTTCTCCCGCAGTATAATGGCTGCTGGGAGGTAATTCTACATTTAATTCGTTACATAAAAAGTATGATAAAAGCCAGAAAATTCTCTGTGCTTGAAATTATCCCCTGAAATTCTGCCGCTGCACATCCCATAAAAAGTTATTCTGCTCATACTGATGAATGAAGCCAGGATTCCTTTCCACACTGTATCTCATTAATGAGCAGTTGACATTTTGATGTTTCTACTGCGCCTGCGCCTGCGCCTTGGGGCGGACTTCGGCGGATTTGCCGAGTTCTGGAAAGGCATCCTCAAAATCCCCTGCAGCGGTCCTCTAGTTTTAGATGTCCTTCCACGCCCATCTCTTTCACAAAGCCCCTTCCCACTATCCACTTAAAACCAAACCAAAGTGGGCGTGGTGGTGCACATTTGTAATCCCAGCACTCTAGGAGTCTGGGACTGGATGATGGAAAGTTCCTGTTTCAAAATAAAAAATAAAAAAAGGACTGGGATGTAGCTCAGTGTGAAGGCCCCAAGTTCAATTCCCAGTACCCAGAACACAACAGAACTGAAACTAAGCAAATACGCTGGCTCAAAAAAATACGGCATATTTTCTCTCGTATAATCTAAAAAAGTTTTAAAAAGATAGCATGAAAGCAAAAGGGAAATAGAAAAGGAGGGGCATCAAAGAGAAGAGTAAGGAAGGTAATGGAGAGGTGGTCAAAGGCTACAAAGATTCAGATAGGAAGAATACATTTGAGAATTCTAATAGATATTTTACTATAATTTCCCCTTTTAGTAGTGCGAACAGTGGCATGTCCCTTCTCTGTAGTTGCAGCTCTTTTAAATCTAGGGAAAAGTTAAAACACAACGATAGGCAGTTTTGGGAGACATTTAAAAAAAAATCAAGACTTGTAAAGGTCCCAGAAAACTCCTCTCCCAGTACAGTGTTGTTCCATTTTGAGACAATTATCCTATCACCCATCCTAGGCCTTCTCCGACCTCCAAAACCTCCATGCAACCCCACTTTCCCCTTTCATTTTGCGCCTGCGCCTTGGGTTATTATGAAGCTTCCGGTCCTCAATTGGATGTGCTCCTCCTCCCATACCTTTCCCACAAAGCTTTGCGCGAGACTGGCTTCCTGCCATTGAAGCGATCCACTTCCGGCCTCTGTCCCTGTCCAATGTTAGACCCTCTTATCCGACAAAGCCGCCCCATTGCATGCTATTGTGCCCCAAAGCTTAATGGCTTGCATTCTATTCCTCTAGTAAACATTTATTCTTTTTTTCTGTGTAAGCAGTGTCATAATTGTTCTCATATGTTATAACCTTACTCCTATGATAACCCTTTGAGACAGAAAATCTATCCTTTCCAAACATTGCTCGCCCTGCTTCTTCCCACTATGCTCTGCTTTCTGCTTCCTGTTTCCTGCTTCCTGTGGGCAAAGGATAAAGCCAGCTCTCTTGTGCTGAGGGGAGGAAAAACACGTCCTTACCCATAACATTTTCCTGCAGCTCTTCGCTTTCTGGAGGTGTATAGGTAGGAGGAGGCCTCTGACGAGGTGGCTCTCGCTCCCATTCTTCTCCTTCCCTGGCTTCTTGTTCCACGTAGAAGGGGAATGGGACCCGAGAGGCTCGGGACCCCCTCAAGCCTACGCCTCGTGGTCGGCTTCGGTGATCCATGGTGACTGCTCAATAAACAGCTACCAACCTAAATTCTGGGCCCTGAACTGGGCCTCTGAGATTGACCTTGGGAAAGGAAGCGTGGGGAGAGCGTTATGCCTCTGTCTGTTTGCCCTGGGGTCGAGCTGAGATGCCCCAGTTGGTAGCAGGGACTGCTTACCAAGTGGGCCCCAGGGTACCTCCTGCCCACTGGGGAGAGGGACCAAGTTGGCCAGCTCCCTGGCACCAACTCTGTGTCCCTCAGTCCCACTGCCTTGGCAGCTGACGTTATGAGTGGCAGTTGTTTTCAGCCAATGAAATTTGTGCAGCCTTTGTGATGTCACAGTAACATCCAGCAGGGGGGCTGGTTTGGGGCGGGAGCCCTGCCCTCTGGGCACTTGCCCTCCATCTGGTGTCATGTACCCACGTTAATAACAAAAACTGTCACACACAGAGGAGTGCTCTTTAAACCCAGGGTGTACCTTAGACACTCCTGGGGAGTTAAGAAACAATCAAAGGCACGGACCACAACTCCACAGGTCCTTGGGTATCGCTAGTTTCATAAATAGGCAAATACGGTTAAGAATCACCACAAATGGCAGTTAAGAGTGTAGGTTTTGGGTTCAGCATTTCTAGGTTCAGTTCTGAGCTTTGATAACTCACTTTGGCATTGAAACTTTGAGAAATGTATTTAACCTTTCCGAGCCTCAGTTTCTGCTTCTGCAGATTGAAGGCAATACTTTGCTTGTGTTGTAAAACTGAAATGACAGGGTAAATGTAAAGCCTGACTTTATATAAATGTAAAACTGCTATTTTATTGTTCCTTTTGGCAAGAGAGGCTCCAGCCCCAGCCTGGGAGTCAAAAACTAGTCCAGTGATGGCAAACCTTTAGAGATGAGTGCCCAAACTGCAACCCAAAACCCACTTCTTTATCGCAAAGTGCCAACAGTGCAATTAAACCTGAATACTAAGGTTTTAGTTTAGAAAAAACCAACTCATACACTAACGTATTTTGTCTTAAAAATTACATGTGTACCATAGGTTTGCCACCACTGCTAGTCTCTATAATCCTTAACTTGCAGGGGATATAAGCCAAGCTTTCTAAAGATGTTTTGGTGATTTTGTTGAGGTAATGGTATTGCTACACTTCTCTCTGTCTCATTCTAGAAGTCTTCCACCAAGTCATGAGGACATTCAAACAACCATTGAGAGGCCAATGTAGAAAGAAACGGGGCCTCTCCAGGACTCTCGGTACCGCTTTGCCAGCCTTGTGACTGTATCACCCTGGAAGCAGATCTTCCAGCTCTTGTTAGTTCTGGTAACTGGAGCCCTTGTTAGCAACACGACTACAGCTCATGAAATGCCCAGGGCCTGACCCCACCCCCAGCCATTCCTGAATTTGTGACCCACATAAACTGTGAGTTAAATAAATATTCATAACTGTTTTACACCCCTAAAAGTAAAGCTTTAGTACAGTTCCTGGCTAAAACATTGTTAATCTTCCCATTCATGTTAGACAATATTAGAGTCAGTTTAAAAAGTAGGAGTTCAAAGAAGTGAGGGTGGTGTAGGGTGACCAGAAAAGGCTCATAAAATAGTAATCACAAATGGCTGTTTTGACTGAGTGTTGAAAATAGCCCTCAGACCCACTTGGACATGTTTCGCTGCTTTATGGTTTGTATATATGCAGGGGTTTGGTAGCAGGAGGGGAGAGGAGAAAGACAAATTTCAAACATAATTTTCAGCTTAATTACATTGGTTAGAGTAAGCGAGAGCACTGAGTGATCAGCCTTTCTCAAGCGTATTTCACAAGCCAGGGATATGTGTTTTTTTTACAATAATATTAAAAAATTTTTAAATATAAATCTTAAAAAATCTTTAATTGTTTTAAAATCAGGGTATCTGCGCTGGGCAGGTCTTATGCATATTTACACAGGCATTGAAGGGATGTATTGGGTGTCTTCCTCATGCATGTTCCCTCCTGCCTAACACTGTCATTGCCCCACTTACTCTTGTATTGAGAATCATCCCTCATGGTGCATCTGGTCATCCTCATAGGGATGTAGCTGCTAAAAAGGATCCTAGATTAACCCCTTAATTTCAAGAATACTTGTATTTTTATTATTATTTTTTATTTTAATTTTTTTTGGATACCGGGGATTGAACTCAGGTCCTGGCACTTCCGAGGCAGGTGGCAGAACCACTGAGCTTAATCCCTGGCCCTCAGTAATACTTTTAAAGCATGTGATACATGCTAGACACTGCCATTCAGAGGCAGCAATAATAAAAACAATGCATTCCATCAATTTTCAAGCTAAAATTCCAGCAGTGCACACAGATATGAAACCAGTGCTCACATACACGTACAAATGTAAGCCAGTAAGTGCAACGAAGTGAATCACAGGTGACTGAGGGTGTATAGCATAGAACACAGGATTTAGCCTGGGTGGGTGGGTGGATAAGTGATCAGGAAAGGTTTTCCTGAGGAAGTGACGTTTGAATCCTGAAGAAGTGGGTGTGACAAGGTGAGGAAACATCCTGAGTAGAAGAAATTCATATCAAGAAGGGAGATGAGCACCCTAGATGTCCAGAAAGCAATAAGAAAAAAAATTTTTTTTTTGGTACTGGGGATTGAATTCAGGACCCTGTGCTTGTGAGGCAGGTGAGGTGCCACTGAGCTAGATCCCCGGCCCTCCTTTTTTTTTTTTTTTTGAGAGAAGAATATGCTAGCCCAGATTTGCCTTGAACTTACTCTTGAACTCACAATGTAACTCAGGGTGGCCCCAAACTCCCATCCTCCTGCCTCAGTCTCCTTAGTGCTGAAATTACAGGTGTGCGCCACCACATTTGCAATAAGGTGGAAATCTTGACATTGGCAGGGGTGAAGCAAACCCCACGATCTGGATGAAATCCAGGGAATGTGTAATATGAATTACCCTCATAAGCTAGAAAGGAGGAAAGTTGAGCCTTGAAAAGGGGACTAAGGTAGAAATTGGCAGAGCTGGCTTAGAGTTCAGATGTTCAGTGTTCAGATTCCTTGTTGCTCTACAGTTACTGTAATGCTCTGTCTTTGGATTAGGGGTAGATGAGAAGTTTGGGTTTCTTTTGTAAAATGTGAGAGCTTGGTCATTTTTTGCATGTCTTTTTCCTTTATAGTAGATATCAAAGTTAGTAATTATACATTTCTATGATTAGGTGATAAATATCCATTAAGCTATGAACAGCAATGGAAGACACCATTGCTATTTCGCTCACAGTAGTATTCTCAGGAACAATTAGAGTGTCTGGCACATACTTTATTACCAGTAAATAACTATTGATAATATTCATGAGAACCTGTTTATTGAAGGGAAGTAGGAGATACCCAAAGTCCAGAGCATTTGCAGGCATATGGATTGTATGAAACCATATGTTGTGGCTTGTGTCAGGTGTCCCCCCAAAGACTGATACAGTCATAGGTGGGGATTTTTCAGGGGTGGCTGAATTTAGAGTGTGTGACTGATTCATGGTGCAATGCTAGGATTAAGGGTGCTTGGAGTAAGGGTGGGTAATTACTAAATCAGTCCACTGATTGGTTTGGCATCACTCTAATTCCCATTAGCCCGTATACAATATAAGGGACAAAAGGAGGCTTGTCTTGTCCCTTGCTTGCTGTTTTTGCCTGCCACTCTGCCTCGGAGACAGCCAATTGTGGACTGAAATCTCTGCAAATGGTAAGCCAAATAAACTTTTCCTTCCTTAACTTGTGGTTGTCAGGTATTTTGTCTCAGCAACAAGAGAAAAGTAACTCAGACACCATACATTTGGAAGATGAGAATGGGGAAATGGATTACAACAGGACTATGTTTCCTTATACCAGTGAGGCCCCAGCCTAAGTCAGAGAACCACTGCATTCTTCATAGATATTCCTTGGGAAATGTATGTGAAAAGGAGGAAAAGGGGAAAGAAGGAGGCAGGAGAACCCAGAAAATAGGATAAAAGAAGAATGGAGGGAAAAGGAGGATCAGGAGAGCAAACTCTGCATTGGAGAGCAGCGGGAGAGGAGAGACAGCCAATATCCCTTCATGTTACCCTTCTCTGAGCTGTTAGGTGTATGCACAGGCCCACCGCATGTGTAATCACCTTTAGCTGTCTCTGAGTTATAGTCCCTTCCTTGTTCTTGGAGGACCATCTCCAGGATGAGCTTCTTTCTCAACTTTCAAACAAGGATCTTAAGGCTAGTGGGTTTTTCAAGGAGCTTCTTTTCTTTCATATCTAAAGGACAATCTAACAACTGCTAGAAATATAGGCTGATTTTAACTTCTTTCTAGTGAGGCTAGGAAAGCTAGACTAGCTAGGAAATGGGATATTATCATCTGTCTCAGAAGGTATCTGTCTATATTCGTCCAGTCTTTTCTGAGATTGGCTTTCCTCCCTCTCTCCCTTTCTTCCATCCCTCCTTCCTTTCTCCCTTCCTTTCTCTCCTCTTCCCTTCTCTTTCTCCCTTCCCAAGGCCTCCACACAGTTACTGTACATTCCCGGTCCTTTTATTTTGAGGCAATTTCTTGCTAAGTCACTAAAATTTTCCATTCTGGGCTTGAGCTTATGATCCTCCTACCCCAGTCTCCCAGAGTGCTAGGATTAGAGGCATGCACAACTGTGTCCAGCTTGGCTTCTTTTTTATTTTTAAAAAATTTTTAGTACGTGTTTGCAGTACATAATGGTTACATTCATTGTGGGGAATTGATACATGTACATAACACATCTCAATTCTTTTTTTTTCTTTCCCTCTTGGTTTATTTTTCAGGATCTTTTTTTTTTAATTGTTGCCCCATAATTGTTGGAGAGAAGGCAGATCCTTCTCTAAAAGGAGGACTTTCTTCCAGAAGTGGTCATGAGCATTTCTTTGATGAGCATAAAAGGAACATAATTTTTCTTCACCTACACAAGAAAAGTGCCGTGGGGATCTGGTCTTTCCATGTAAAGAAGGGAAACATCAGAAGGTCTGCTAACCATCTGTTTACTCTTAAATAATGAACCATCCTGTTGTCACTACCAAGCAGTTAGAAGGCTGGTGTACTATGTCATTCAAAGCCCTACACTCCTGAATACTGAGAAATTTCTGCCCACTTCAATTGGAGCTTTCCTGGGTTTTTGTCATCCTGCTAATGCCAAATGTACATATGTAATAGGATGGATATAATAACTCTTTTGCCTTTCCTGTCTTTATCTTTTCTTCCAGGGACCACACTATTCTTAATGCGGGAAAAAAGGCATCTGTTGAGAAGAGCATAC